ACAATGACCTGTTTTAATTTTATTACTAAATTATTAAAATTTTCATCAAGTTCGATCAGTTAGCTAAGAACTGGATGGAATTTTTAAACAGAACTAACTGGCTCATCATTGTGGCTAAGGTGAGCTGACTAATTTTTTTGATTTATATTTTTATTTTCTTTTCTTATTTTGGTAATTAATTTGATTATTAATTTTATTTATTATATCTTATTTATTTGATTTAGGCAGTTTTAGGTTAGATCGAGATCAGATCATCCTTTGGCTAAAATTATCAGATAAAACAGGATTTTTGTTATCGCAGTATATGTTTTTGACGAATTCTTTCAATTAGTAATCGTAATCATTCAGTCCTAATTATTTTTTTTAAAAAAAAATCATATAAACAACCGTTGTTCTTATCAATATTAATATTAATATAAATAAAAATGGCCCTCATAGTTCTTGCATAAAGTTAACCAAATTTATACCTATTCCTTCCTTTTTTAGAATAGCCATAGCTTCTACTATATAAAGTAGAATTACCTGATACCAACATCTATATGGCATGAACTGTATATAGTGTTAATAATCATTAATAAACTCTGGGTCTCTAGGTCAGTTTTAAAATTTCAATGTTACGTGAACTGAAAAATCAAAGTTGCATGGCCTAACAAATTTATTACCCAACCCAGCAAGAGGTAACAAAATCCAATAGCTATTTGCTTTTTATTTTCTAATGTTTTTTTTGATCTTCTTTTAGGATTCAATACATTTACAAATTCTTTAAAAAATACTTGTAAATGCGGTTCTTGATTTTCAATTAAAGCACAAAAACTTTCTGGATCTAATTCTAAAAAAAGATTTGCTTTCTTTACATATTATAGAGAACTTTAGTTAAAGCTTTAATTGTTCTCCAAAAATAAAATCTAATAAAATATTAATAAATTAATATATATATATTTAGAATAATACTTTTGTAATAAAAGAAATTCTAAAAAAATAAATTATATTATAATTATCTTGATTACTTTTTACTTTAGTATTTGTATTATTATCATAAATTGGCAATTTATTTAAAGGTAAACTTGAATATTTATTTCGGTCAGGTTTAACAATATTGTTGTAATGCATTTGACATAGTTGGTCACCAACTTTTAAATAATTATATATATTAAATGTTTATTTTGTTTTAGCCTTTTCATATGCAAGCTTAGTAAAAGTATAAAATTTGACAACATCTTTATCACAATTATTTATTTTATAAGGTCTACAATTTGGTAAACGTGACATTTTTTAAAATTTCATGATATATTTAAAAAAGAAGTTACGTGCTTTTTATAATTTTAGTGATAATCAGTAATAATTTCACCAATTACAGTAAATTTTTACAAAAATTAAGACGGTGTTTAGCTTCATACTTATATCACCAAGATCTGACGAAATCTTCATTTTTTATTAAAAAAAAACTATTATTTAAAAAAATCTAAAAAAGAATAAAAAAAAACGAAAAGTAATAAAACTAAAAGAAAAAATAAAAAAGAAAAAGAAAAAAAAAGAAAACGAAAAGTAAATAAAAAAGAGATAAAAAGAAAAACAAAGAAAGAAAACGAAAATAAAAAACAAAACTAAAAATAAAACTAAAACAGAAAAAAGAAAAAGAAAATCGAAAAGAAAAAAATGAAAAATGAAAACTAATGAATTAAAAGAAAAATACAAAAAAAATATGAAAAATTAATACAAATAAAATTAAAAGAAGAATGAAATAAGAAAATAAAATAAAAATACAAAAAAAGAAGAAAAATAAGAGAATAAAAAAAAGAAAAATAAAAGAAAAAAACTAAACAAATGAAAAAATAAAGAAAAACAAATAAAAGAAACGAAAAATAAAATAAAAAAAAAAATAAAAATTACTAAATAAGAAAAAAAAAATAAAAAATAAAATAAATATTAAATAATTTAAAAAAGGCCGAGGAAAATAAATAAAAAAAAATATAAAACAAATGAAAAAACAAAGAAACTAAAAAGGAAAAAAGAAAAAGAATAAAATGGAATAATATTAAAAAAAAAGAAAATAAAAAAGATTATAAAAAATCAAATGCGAGAAGGGAATAAAAAAATAATATTAAAAAATAAAGAACGCAGGGTGAAAAAAATAACAAAAAAATATAATAATTAAAAAAATATATATAAAATGTTTCGAAGGGGTGGATGAAAGAAATAAAAAAATAAAAAATAATAAAAAACAATCGATAAAAATATAAAATGATAAAAAAAAAAATTAATAAAAAAAAAATATCGGGGAAGGGAAAATTTAAAAGAAAAAGAAAAAAAATAATAAAAATTACCAGAAGAGGAATTCAAAAAAAAAGAAAAAAAAATAATTAAAAATATGTAAAGAAAGATTAAAGAACTAGAGGAAAATACAAAATAATAATATTAAAAAAAATAAATATATGAGAAAGAATAAAAAATTAAAAAAAATAAAATAAAAAAACAATAATAAAAATGAAAAAGAATAAAAATTAAATATTAATATAAATTAATAAAAATAAAATAAATTTAAAAATATATATATATATATATAAAAATAAAAAATTCAGGAAAAACTAAAGAAAAATATAAAAAAAAAAATAATAAAAAAATATAAAAAGGCCAGAAGGAGGAAATAAAAAAAAACGATATACTAAATAAAAAAAAAAAATATAAAATAAAATAAAATAAAAATAATAAAACTGAAAGGAGATAAAAAAATATATTAAAAAAATAATAAAAAATATATTAAAAATAAAAAATATAAAAAGACCGGGATGGAATAAAAATAGATATAATTATATTTTTTTAATTTCAAAGTTTCGATATGCCGTAATGAATTTTGAATGCAAATATCTTAACATCTACTAGTAACATTCCTATCAAACTTGATATGCTGATTCAATAGGTTACTATCTTTCAAACAAGACTAAAACTATCCAAATCCAATCACTCAAATCAGAGATATTTAGGAAAAACTGAAAGCAATTTCATGAAAGAATCTAAAGCAAGTGTAACTCCTAGAACTGAAGCAAAAAGAACAGTCCAAAAAGTAATGATATTCAATACTAATTTTAGCATCTGGAAATCTATTGGAGATGAGTAAATTGTATATCAATATGTAAGAAAATAGAGTAATGTATAAGTGTTCTAAATCAATTATTTAAATTAAAATCCTTAAAATGAAGCAATCATGTGATCTAAAGGTTATAAAAATATCAATTTATAACAACCAGTTATAGCCCTGAGAGTTTCAAATAAAGCTAATTTTATGATAATTGGATCACTGAATACTAAAATAGTTTTGAAAGTTGATAAGTTCTTGAACTGATCTTATGCAGATTTAAAGTCAATTTTAGAAGAAGTATTCATAAGCAAATTTTGAATTAAATTACTGGTGATGTCAAGGTTTGATTACTTATAGGAGATAAAAAATTATCCATTGTTATGTTAAAATATGAAGTTACTTATAAAATCTTAAAATACAAAATATTTATTCTAATCCAATTATAACTAAATTATAACTATATTATAACCACAACTATATTCTTACATAATTCAATTCATCTTAACCTAATTCTAACTTTAATGTATACCAATTTAATTACAATTCAACCCAATCCAATCTAATTTAATCATATCCTAATCATCCTAATCTGATTTTAACTAAATCAACACCAATTTCAATTTCAACCCAACTAAACCAAATTTAAATTATCTTAGAATTTATTAAAACTATATTCTTTATTTGTCACAAAGTGATCCTAAGGCATCATCTGGTTAGAATTGCTAGTCCTTATAATATATTACGCCAGTATAACATTATAAAATTAAGTTATAATGTCTTTTCAGACGGGTTATGCAACCACTGATCACCCAATTTAGAAAAAACAATAAACAAAAATTATAACACAATACAAAAAACAAAAATATTACCAAGATTTGACAAAATCTTTATTTTAATTATTTTTTATTTTTATTTTTTTTATTTTCACTTTATTCTTTTTATTTTATTTTATTTTTTTAAAAAAACAAACAAACGAAAAAGAAAAAAGAAAAAAGAAAAAAAAAGAAAAAAAAGAAAAAGAAAGGAAAGAATAGGAAAAGAAAAGAAAGAAAAAGTACCAAAGAAGCAAAGAATTTAAGCAAAGTACTATTAATGAAAGTACCAAAATACTAACAATAAAAGGACCAAAGAACTACTAACGAAAATATTAAAAAACTACCAATGAAAGGACCAAAGAACCACTAACGAACAACCAATGAAAGGACTAAAAGAACTACCAAAGAAACACCAATGAACTACCAATGAACCAATAACAAAAGAACCAAAAAACCGTCAATAAAAATATTAAAGAACTACCAACAAAACTACTAATGAAACTACCAAAGAATCACCAATGAAAGTACCAAAGAATCACTAATGAACTACTAATGAAAGAACCAAAGAATCACCAATAAAAGTATCAAAAACCACCAATGAAAGGATCAAAGAACTACTAAAGAACCAAAAAACCATCACTAACAAAATCACCAATAAATTACTAATAAATCACCAATGAACTACTAATGAATCACCAATGAAACTATCAATGAAAGGATTAAAAAACTACTAAAGAAAAGATTAAAGAACCACTAACGAACGACCAACGAAAGGACAAAGAATCACGTATGAAAAGACCAATGAAAGGATCAAAGAATCACTAACAAAATGACTAAAAAACCACTAACAAAGCACCAATGAAACCACTAATGAATTACCAACAAAGGACTAAAGAATCACCAATGAAAGGATCAAAGAACCACTAATGAACCACCAACAAAAGTACCAAAGGACTACCAAAGAACCACTAAAGTATCACCAACGAAAGGACAAAACCATCAAATCACTAATAAAAACACCAAAGAACCATCAGAAAATCACCAACGAAAGGACTAAAGAACAATAAAAAGACCAAAAATAAACCAAAAAACCATCATTGAAAGAACTAATGAAACCATTAAAAAATCACCAAAAAACTACCAACGAAGGTCAGAACCAAAGAATCACCAATAAAAGGATCAAAGAACCACCAACAAAAATACCAAAGTACCACCAAAGTATTACCAAAGGACACTAACGAAAGGATTAAAGAACCACCAATGAAAATATTAAAGAACTACCAATGAAATCACTAACGAAACTACCAAAAAACCACCAATGAACCACCAATGAAAGTACGAAAGAACCACTAATGAATTACTAATGAAAGGACCAAAGAACCACTAATAAAAGTACCAAGAATCACCAATAAACTACCAACAAACTACTGACAAAACCACTTAAAAAGATATATTAAATAAAATAAAAAAAGAAACTAAAAAAGTTTGGCTCTAACATTAGCATTAGCGCTGATGCTGACATTGACGCTGGCATTGGCATTGGCACTAATAAAATAAAAAAATTAACAAAATTAGATTAAAAAGAGATTAAAATTAAAAAAAAAAATCTAAAAAAATTAATGAAAAAAATACCAAGGGTGGGGAATTTTTAAAAAAATACTGAAAAAAAATTAAAAATAAAAAATGTCAGTGGGATATAAAATATATATAAAAATATATAAAAAATAATGTTATATTAAAAAATAATAAAAGAATTAAAAAAAATTAACACTATATACAGTTCATACTATATAAATATTGGTATCAGGTGATTCTATTTTATATAATGAAAGCTATGGTTATTTCAAGAAAGAAAGGAATAGATATAAATTTGGTTAGCTTCATATAAGAACTATGGGGGCTGTTTTTATTTATATTGATATTAATATCAATATCAATATCAATATCAATTTCAATAACAATAACAATAACAATATCAATTTCAATTTCAATTTCAATTTCAATATCAATATCAATTTCAATTTGAATTTCAATTTCAATATCAATATCAATATTGATAGGAACAAAGTTATTTATATATGATTTTTTTTAAAAAAAAATTGTGACTGCCATATACTGCGGTAACAAAAATTCTGTTTTATTTGATAATTTCAGCCAAAGGATAATCTGATTTCGATACAACCTAAAACTGCCTAAAAAAATAAATAAGATGAAATAAATAAAATTAGTAATCAAATTAATTACCAAAATAAGAAAAGAAAATAAAACAATCAAAAAAATTAGTTAGCTTACCTTAGCCATGATGACGAGCCAGTTAGTTCTATTTAAAGGTTTTATTCAGTTCTTAGCCAACCGATCGAACCTAAAAAAAAGCAAATTAATTACCAAAATAAGAAAAGAAAAAAAAATAAATCAAAAAAAAATTAGTTAGCTTACCTTAGCCACAGTGATAGAACAGATGGTTCTGTTTTAAAGGTTTCGTCTGATTCTTAGCCAAAGCGGAGGAACTAATCGAACCTAAAAGTAAATAAATAATTTAATAAATTATTAATAATAATTCATTAAAAAAATTTATTATACATAAAAAAAGAAAATCAACGGCTTACCTTTGCCACAGTGATGAACTAGATGATTCTGTTTTGAAGGTTCCGTCCCTAAGTGAAAGGTCTGATCAAACCTAAATAGATTAAAAAAAATAAATAAAAATAAAAATATTAATAAAAAAATTTAATAAAATAAAAAAATAATAAAAAAGAAAGAATATCGATGGCTTTACCTTCACCATTATGACAGACCAGTCAGTTCTATTTTAAAGGTTCTGTTCCTAAGTGAAAGGCCTGATTAAACCTAAATAGATTAAAAAAAAACAAATAAAAATAAAAATAATAATAAAAAAATTTAATAAAAAAGAAAAAAAAAATTATGTTAGCTTACCTTCGCTGCAGTAACAATCTGGTCAGAGTTATTCAAAATTATCTTAAAGATAATCAACAGAAAGTTGCGGGTGAAGTTTTATTTGCATCAATTCACTGTACAGCTACAAGATATGCATCTTCAAATTCCTTCTTAAATTATATGCAATACTCTATTTCTTACTATCCTTAAAGTTATTTATATATTAGAGCCGTATGCGACATTAGGAACTCCTAAATTAATGAAGAGAGTTATCTTTTCTAGAGCATTTCCTGATTCTATGGCTATAGAACTTCAACCAAAGCTTGAGAAGGCAAAGAAATTTATGAACTTCTTAAACCTTTTGTGGATCCTACAATAATTAAATGTCCTATTATTGTGATTGGCACTGAAAAGGATAAAGCATTTGATTTAAAAATTATAAAAGAAACTGCTAATGATTATGGTGTTGGATTTGATATCATTGGTGGTGCTTCTCATAGCATTATGCTGGACTTTACATGGAAGAATGCTGCTAATATTATTTTAAAAGGATCCAAGAAAAAATTGTAAAGAAATAATTTTCAGTAAATTAACTCGATAGCATGCATATGTTCCTCAATCATTATTGTACCATTCATATCTTTATTATTCTATTATTTAATTCCATAAATAAAAAAGTTTTTATAAGATTAGATTTGAAATTAATAATGATTCAAGTCCTAAATTCATCAAATTTTATGAGTGACGCAGCCTTACAATTATGTTGTAAATATTGCATTTATTTACGTAAAATATATTTGTTAGTATACACTATTCTAAGAAGTAATCTGATAGGATATAATAAATAAGTATTGTACCTATCTCATCATTTCAAGTTAAATGTTATCAATCCATTTTATACAATTAATTATTTTTTATGATGATTGATTGATTATTCTATCCTATTAAAATGTTCTTAAATATAAAAGAGAAACCACTACAATATCAACTTTCAAATGAATAATATCGACATTAAAATTTTCAGATTTATATTAAACTTAGAATAAAAACAATCACTAGAAATGATTTGAATCGATTAGATAATTTTTGAAGTATATTATATTTCGATAAATAATTCATAATAAAAATTACAAATAAAAAAAGGTTATAGAAAGTTTCGTAATAAAAGTTAAAGTAAATTTTGTATACTATGTTTAAAATATTATTTCAGATTATCTGATATTGTAATTTATCAAATTTAAAAAAATTTTTGATTTTTAAAATTTTGTTTTATAGCATTACAATAATAAAATTTATTACATCAAATCATTTTTTTGAAAGGTGTATATATAATTTAACACCATATACAGATTATGCCATATAGATGTTATACGGTGAGATAAAGAACATGATTAGATACAAACGATATTTTCTCGTTCGCACTATTTCTAGCAATCTTTAGAATAGCAATATTTTAGGTATAGTTTATGAAGTGATATGTCCTTAAATAATATAACATCAACAGCTTATCTTTGCCGTGGTGACAGACTGGACAGTTCTATTCAAAGGTTCCATTTGGTTCTTAGCCTAAGTGGAGGAACTAATCGAACCTAAAAAAATTAAAATATTAAATAAAATAAAAAAAATTAAATGAATAATGAAAAAATAAAATAAAAATAAAAATAAAACAAAACAAAATAAATACGAAAATATTAAAAAAAATAAAAAATATTAAAAAAATTTATAAAGGTGAAGTGTAAAAAAAAATCATGGAAATTTCAAAATGTACAATTCAAAAGAATGGCTTGAAAATCTATTTCATAGAAACATATTAAACACTATGAATACAAAGATTTTAGCAATCTTCAAGAAATTGGTTCTGGAGAATTCAGAAAGTTTATCATGCTAATTACAATTACCTCAGAATTACCTTTTGTTTTAAAATCCTTTTTAAACATTCAAATTTTTTAATTACATAATTTTTCTCAGCTCTCTCTAATAACTTTTTATCACAGTAAGCAGTGTTTTTTATTGCATTGATCTCTATGTTTATTATGTGACATAGTATTATGAGGTGTAATACTTTTATTCTGACATTTATTTTATTTCTGATTAAAAAAAATAATGAAATTAAAAAATGAAAGTTTAAAAATGAAATTAAACAAAAAAAATAAAATAAGTCTGAAGTCGAAATTTAAAAAATGAAAAAAAATAAGAAATTTAATTAAATCAAAAAGTTATTTTAAAATTTAATTAAAATTTTGATTAAAAAAAAATTAAAACTTAAATTAAATTATAAAAAAAATTAAATTTAAAAATTAAAAATTATAATCCTAATCTTATTTATTTATTTTAAATTAATTAATACTACATTTTTTTTGACCTGGATATTCAAAATAGAAAATAATAAATTTAGATAAAAGTTCATTTATAGTAGATCCAGATGTAATTAAAGAATATTCTCATCTAAAACAAATGACATCACAACTACTTCCAATGTAAGAAAGCATAATAATCTTTACACATACAATAAATATACCAGCAAAATTAATAATGATATTTATAAAAATTAAATAATAAATAATAAGGCCAGCCCCTGGCCGGCAATGATCATGAATCTAGATATTCCAACAAATTTAATAAAGATACTTATAAATATTAAATAAAATATATATATTACTTTCAATATTAATTAAGACCGACCCCTGGCCGGCCATAAATAAAAATCTAGTTATGAAATTAAAAAAATACTAAAAATAATTATTAAAAAAGCAAAGTTACGAAATGTTGTAATGAAATTTGAACGCAAATATCTCAAAATCCACCTGTTCGCTACCTTTCTTACTTGATATATAGATTCGATAGGTTATGCTCTTTTAAAAAAGACCAAAAATGTCCAAATCCAATTACTCAATCCTAAGATATTTGAGAATAACTGAAAGCAATTATTTTGCAGTTCACCACGGAAGTATGTCAAGCAGGTGTGAATACCAGAACTGAAGCAAAAGGAACTGTCGAAAAGTAATGATGCCAAACACTAATATCACCATCTTAGAACCTAAAGGAAGTGAGAAAACTGTATGTTAATATGTAAGAAAATGAAATAACTTTGAGTGTTAGTAAAAATCAAAAAAACGATTTGCTATGACAAATATTGAATGAGAATATCTCAGCATGTACCAGTCCGAGTCCTTTTAAACTTGATAATAAGATTCAGTAGGTTCTGCTCTTTCAAATAAGATCAAAACTATCCTGATTCAATCACCTTTTTTTTTTTTTTTTTTAAGACGCAGTAATGCTTTTATTTATTAAGTATAATCAATTCCAATAAAAATATACATGAAAATCCTTTAAAGAGGTATATAAGTAGAAAAATAAAAAAAGCTGTCTAATAAAATAAAAAGTACAAAAACTCAAATTTTATCAGACTAACCGGTCATTCTGTTAGGTTCTGGTAATAATCACTAGTAGAATTACCATTGCCACCTAACTAATAGAAAGGAAACATATGACAAATAGTTATTACTGCATAAGGAAGAGAGGCTAACGACGACCATGTATGTAAGAGTTTTTAATTAAAGACAAATGATCACGCTAAGGATAGTTAAAAGGAAATGGGATATTAGTAAAACTGTTTCTAGAAAAATGATTGGAGAAAACGTATATTCCTTTTTTTTGCTATATTGTGAAATATTTTTAGAGTGCTCTTTAGCAACTGTTAGTTCACATCTCGATTTCCACACAATATCATAAGTTTAATCAAAAAGAAAATCATAGAAGGAGGAGAATGGTAAATGTAATGAAAGAAGAGTTTGTAAAGAAATGAATAAGTTTTGGAAAGGAAGAAGAAACAATCCCTTTGATAAAATCTATAACAGTGATGTTATAGTGTCAACCTTTAACGCCCAGAAAGGGTGAGAGGGGAGAAGAAGAGCTGAGACTTCAGGAGGGAAACCAGAATGAGAAGTATGAATGAAAAGTTGTGTTTTTAGATGAGATAATACGTTAATAATAATATTTTTCATTAATGGTATGACTATAGGGCATAATCAAATATGGTTAAAATTTTCATTTGATATATTGCATCTACAACATTTCCAAGTATTGTCATATAAAGAGGGTTGAACTGCTTTTAGGAATTCTAAGGTAGGCAGTTATTCAGATAGAAATTTTAAACGTCTACAATGTATTCTTGACTCTTTAAAAGAGGTTATTATAGGGGAACCTAGTTTGGTAAGCTGGAAGGTTAAGTAATAATTAATTTCCAAGTTTATGTATTTTTTGTTTCGATTTAAAAAATAAAAGTCAATGAAGTGTTTTGTTTGTGAGAAGTCTTTGATAAGAGGGTGAAAAGCTGTATTGATAGGCATATTTTCAAATAGGAGAATGTGTTGGAAGTAGGGAATGTGGTCAAGGATAAAGGAAAGGGGAACAGAATGTAAGGAAGATTTAGCTAATTGATCAACTTTGTTATTGTGTAGGTCATCAGAGTGTGCAGTATCTTTAGTAAGAGATAGTATAATGTTTCTTTCTTCTATTATTTTAAAGATGATGGACCAATAAATATTGAAAGGAAGTTTTAACATTAAAGAAGGGTACATAAAAGCGTTATGTCGTTGAATTTTGTTAAAGGAGTGAATAAGGGATAAACTATCTGTGCATACATTCAAGTCTAAGTTATGAGGACAAATAAAAAATACTAAGAGCAAATGCAAAAATTTCAGTATTGGTGAAGTTGGACCAGTAATTGGATATAGCAGTAGAAAACTCTATATTTAAATTATCATAAACTAAAAGAAAAGCAGAACTAAGGTAAGAAACAGGATCAGTATGATCAGATAAAAATCTATGTGAACCATCTATATAAAATGTCAGAGATTGTTCATATTTTAAAGTAACTTTAAAGGTATTAAGTATCGTACAAGTATTTGGCGAGGTAAAAAAATTTTCTACAGTAACATATGCAGGAGTATTAAGCAATAATCTATGGAAAATAAGGGGATCAGGACGAACTCTTTTATAATGTTCAATAGTTTGATCAGACACTGCTTTTATATTCTTCTTCAAAAGGTATAGCTTCTCAGAATTAACAGAAGAAAAATAGGTAACACCATTAATTTGAGATAAGTCACTTTCAATGATATTTTCACATTTAATTAATCTGGATGTGTAAGAATGGATGGTATTATGGTCAATGTTAAAGGAGCAACCAGAACATTCAACAAAAGTATTTTGTTTTTTAGATGAAGATCTGGGATCATTGGTATAGTTTTCTGGTATGTAATGTTGGAATATGATTTTGTCCTGTAATTTTTTATTTTTATAAGATTTTCCAAATATGGTTTGACCAGGGTAGGGCAAGTTATAGTAGTTAAAATCTGGAGGAGTCCAGAGTGACATCTAGTCTACCATTAAAGCTGAGTCTAAAGGAGAAGATGATTTGTGTTCTGTTGGACTAAAATTATTTATAATATATTGATTCTTGAGTCTGTTTAAGTGCATAGGATTACTAAGCACCAGATGTTGTAATAATGTAAACCAATTCAGATTGGTGTTTTTAAGGTGATTCCTCAGGTTTTGTTTGAGAGAAA